ACTGGCTATAGGAAGGCAAGTCTCACTAACAAAAGTATATTTTCTCCTTCCAGTGGATTTTTAGGATTCTTTCTCATGGTCAGCACAGTGAAGCTGAAAAGCCTTATGACCCCAGGGCAGTGTGCAGCCTGGAGTTTCTTTGCTAAGGTAAGAGAGAGGGGAGGGGTGGGAAGAATCCATCTCAGGAGCCCTTGTGTCCAGTGTTCTCAGAGTCAGGTTGGTCTTCACGCAGTCATCTCTAGTCCCTGGCCCTGAGCCTGATCCTTCGCTTGTTCAGGTAACAATTCCTGAGGGTTTCTGCCTATTTTATCAGCATGACATACTGATCTCTATCACATTCCTGGAAGGTGACCTGAGTATGCCCCTTAATTTCCCAGAGCCTTAATTTTCCCATCTGAAAAAGAGAGGTTTTGCCAAAACAAAACAAAACACCTCTAAGCCTTCTCTTGCTCGAAGAGACTGGACCCCCGGATGCATGGGGCAGTTCTTATCTTCCTGCCTGGGAGCTGTGAGGGTGTCCAGAGCTCCAGTAACTTGCCCAGAAGGTCTCAGCCTGTCAGAGGCAATTGAAAAAGGAAAACAGACAGATGGCCTGATTGGGGGACTCTGATGGACCATTCAAAAAAGGGACTAATAAAAATACCCAGCACATATTGACCATGGTTGAAGCATAAGATAGAGAGGTGGGAAAATAAGAAGGAGCAGAAAAATCAGCTCTGGGATGCAGGATCTTAATGCTTTGGGGCTAGCTCTTTCTAGTGGCGCATTTCATTTCCCTAAAGTCTGTGAAGGAGTGAAGTTATGGTGCCCTAGGTGCTGCTTCCACTGAGTGAGAGTTCTTAATCAATTTAATCTAATACAGTAATCATTTAAACTTGTGCCTTTAGCCATCTTTATGTTTGTTGGCTGATTTTTTTCCCCCAGAAAGCAAAAACAAACGTTTTTATTTGAAAGTAAGATTTCACAGCGATGTTTCCACCTGCATTGTCTACTTTCTAATAGCATTAATAATTCACATTCCAGAAGAATGTAAAGATTGGCTGTGATACTGACTTAGAGCATGACAGAATGACGAGGTTGATAAATACTCTCCCCCAGAAGCAACTAGAAAGCTGGAAAAAGACTGTCAAAGATATCCATTTCAGCTCTCTAAAAGTTGACCAAAAGCACACAACAAACTGAGAGGCATTTGTTCATGAAAACTCCTAAACTTCGGGTGGGAACAGCATGAGTTAGCGGTGTTCTTGCTTTAGGTTGCTCTCATTCCCTTCTCCCCATCTCTATAAGTATTCTATTTCAACCAGAGCAGGGCAGGCTGTGAAAACCAACAGGCTTGCTGCTGCTTCCAGAAGGGGCTCACTCTCTTTGGAGTATTGTCAGGTAAAGGGGCCGTCTAGGTGGTAAATGAACAGGAAGCTCCACTAGCTTGAGTTTACCTCTTTGGGGCAAGCAATGGACCAGTGGTCTAGCTGGGGACTTACCAGGTAGTTCTGGGAGGTGAGACGGCCATCAGGGCCTTGCTAGCTCTCCATAAATGCCAGATTTACCTTAGTCTGTGTGCATGAGCAGCAGAGATGGAGGATGCCCAAGACACATACACGTCCCTGGTCAACAGAGCCTGTGTGCACACACAGAGGAGACCTGAGAGACCAGCCGAAAGAAAAGCGGGGGCAGACATGAAAACAGCCTAAAGTTTGAATGTGTTCCCCAGCCCACATACAGAGTCAGAAGCAGAGAGAAAGCTTTCTGGCTTAAGGTGTTTGAGCAAAACCTCTTGACTAGTCTTTGCCAGAACACTAAGCTATGCAGACTGGGGATGATCCCTAGGAAGACAGCCTTAAAAATAAAAGCAAGAAAAAAAATTGAGTGAAGACCGCAGCAGTGGTACCTTAAATGGGAGACAGGTTTCACAGACTTAGTCCAGGCAAATTACTAAACAAGCAAAACAACAATGCCAACGAAAATGCTCTGGGAAAAAGTCAGAATCCAGAGTTGCTATACTATCTAAAATGTCCAGTACTCAGTGAAAATTAGGGCATTCAGAGAAACAAGGAAGCATAATCCCTGCACAGGAAAAAAGCAGTCAATAGGAATTGTGTCTGAATGTCTATCCTCAGAGGTAAGACTTAGCAGAAAGAGACTGCAAAGCAGCTATTTAAATATGTTCAGACAGCTAAAGGAAACCATGTTTAAAGAATTCAAGGAAAGACTCAATGAATACAGAGTCTCAAAGAGGCAGAAATGATTTTTTAAAAAAGAACCAAATGGAAATTCTGGAGTTGAAAAGTACAGTAACTGACCTGAAATGAAAAATTCTCTAGAGGTACCCAGCAACATATTTGAGGGGGCAGAAGAAAGAATAAGTGAACTGGAAGGTGGAACAAAAGAAATTATTCAGTCTAAAGAACAAAGACTTTTTAAAAATTGAAGAAATATGAACAGAGGCTCAGAGACCTGTGGGACGACATCAAGAATATCAACAAATGTATAATAAGAATTCCAGAAGAAGGTTAGAAGAAAAAAAAAATGACAATCAGCAGATGACTTCTCATCAAATACAACAGAGGCCAGAAGGCAGTAGAAAAGAAAAAAGGTCTCAAATCGATAACCTAAGCTTGCACCTTAAGAGACAAGAAAAATAGGAACAAAATAAACCCAAAATGAGCAGCAGGAAGGATATGATAAAGTTCAAGGTGGAAGGTAATGAAATAGAAAACAGAAAAGCAATAGAGAAAATCAATGTTTGTTCCTTGAAAAATCAACAAAATTGACAGACCTCTAGCTAGACTGATGAAGAAAATAAGAAGATACAAATAATCAAAATTAGAAATGAAAGGAGGGACATCACCACTTATCCTATAGAAACTAAAAGTATTGTATAGTTTTATGCCAGCAAATAGATGATTTAGATGAAATGGACAAATTCCCCAAAGGCACAAAATAAGAAACTTGACTCAAGAATAAATGGAAAATCTGAATATGCTCATAACAAGTAAATAAATGTAAGTAGTAATTTAAAAATCTTTCTACAAAGAAAAGCCCAGGCCCAGTTGGCATTGCTGATGAGTTCTATCACATATTTAGAGAAGAAATATTTTTTCTTTACAAATTATTTTAGAAAATAGAGGAAGAGGGAATACTCCCAATTTATTCTGTAAGGTGAATTACCCTGATACTAAAATTAAAGCCAGACAAAAAATTGTAAGAAAACTACAGACCAACATCCCTCATGAACATAGATCTTTAACAAAACATTAGCAAACCAAATTTGGCAACCTACAGGAAGGACTATACACAATGATCAAATGAGATTTATCACAGGAATGCAAAGTTGGTTTAACTTGTGAAAATTATTACGTTATATTAATAAAATAACAGAAATACATGATCATGTCAATAGGTACAGAAAAATCATTTGACAAAATCCAACATCCATCCATGATAAAAACTCTCAACAAACTAGTAACAGAAGAGAACCTCCTCAGTTTAATAAAAGGCATCTATGAAAAACCTACAGCTAACATACTTAATGGTGAAAACTGAATACTTTCCCCCTAAGATTGGGAGCAGCACAACAATTTCACTCTCACCACTTCTATTCAATGTTATCCTGGAGGTTTCGGGCAGTGCAATAAAGAAAAAAAAATTGTTTGTGCTCACAGATGACATTATCCTATACATAGAAAATCCTAAGGAATCTATAAAAACCCTAATTGAACTAATAAATGATTTCTCAAGGTCTCAGGGTGCAAGATCAATTGTAGTTTTATGTATTAATAATGAACAGTCATGTGCAAAAAAATGAAATTAAGGAAACAATTCCATTCACAGTAGCATCGAAAAGAAAAAAATACTTAGGAACTTAACAAAGAGGTGTAAGATTTATACACTGAAAACTACAAAACCTTTCTGAGAGAAATTAAAGACGATCTCAATAAATGGAGAGACTCAATATTGTTAAGATGGAAATACTTCCTGAATTGTACAAATGCACAAACTGATCCTAAAATTTATTTGGAAATGCAATAGCCAAAACAAAAGAAAAACAAAGTTGGAGGACTTGAGCTACATAATTTGGAACTCACTATAAAGCTAGAATAATCAAGACATCTTGGTATTGGCATAAGGGTAAACATTAAGGTCTATTGATTTTCTTTTTTTTTTTAAGGGTGTCAATGTATTTTTTTTTAAGATTTTATTTTATTTTATTTTATTTATTTATTTGGTTGCACTGGGTCTTAGTTGCGGCTCGCCGCCTCCTTAGTTGTGGCATGCAAACTCTTAGTTGCGCCATGCATGTGGGATCTAGTTCCCTGACCAGCGACCAAACCCGGGCCCCTGCATTGGGAGCGTGGAGTCTTAACCACTGTGCCACCAAGGAAGTCCCAAGGTCTATTGATTTTCGATAAAGGTGCCTAGGCAGTTCAATGGAGAAGGGGTTTTCTCTTCAACAAATGAGGCTGTAACAGTCCGTATGCTGGGGAAAAAAAGTACTTAGACCCTTGCCTTGCACTGTTAATTCAAGATGGATCATAGACCTAAATGTTAGAACTAAAACCAGAATAATCTTAGAAGAAAACACAGGAAAAAATCTTAATGACCTTGGTTTAAGCAAAGAGTTCTTAGATATGACACCCAAAGCATGAGCCATAAAATAATTGATAAATTAGACTGCATTTAAGTTAAAATATTTTGTAATTCAAAAGACACCATTAAGAAAATGAAAAGATAAGCCACAGTCTAGGAGAAAATATTTGCAAATCATAATGGACCGCTTATACATCAAAATGTGCTGACATTTGGAATACAACATAATTGTACTTAGCAATACAGCCTTTCCCCCACGTCATTGCGACTCTACTGGGTGCCAGTGTATGCAGAAAGTGACACAAAGAGATGTTCCATTGGCCCAGAGGAGAATTTGGATTCTGTGAAAAACTCACAGGCAGAGAGGTTAAACAGAAGGATGTGCAGGTGGGGAAGCAGGAGGAAATAAATTTAGCTAGAGGAGGAGGAGAATGTAGAGGGGAAGGGAAGAACTGGGCGCACGAGAGTCAGATTATAGGTATCCCTAAAAGCCATGCCACAGAGACCACTGTGAACCTCAGAATGAGACTGACCAAGGGTAATGTTTTAAGCAGGTTAA